CTTGTAATTAAGGGTGCCACTCAGATTTTTCCAATTTTTAGTGGTCAAAACATTATTGTTGAAATGTTACGGCTGTTATGAATGAATCTCACTTCTGAGCTGTTGTATTTTCCAAACTTTTTATCAGGTGTTGTTTATATACTGGAAAATATTCACTTATTTTGATTATTACCTCTCAATAAAAAAATATAAATAGAGTATTTCCAGTGTTAAGGACAAAGCATAACTTCTCTTTCTATTATTCCAGCTCAACTGGGAACATTATGGAGGGCAAAAACAAGACCAGAGTCACCGAGTTCATCCTTCTAGGGTTTCAGAATGAGAAAGAAGTAGAAGTGCTTCTCTTTGTTGTATTCCTTCTCATGTACATGATATCTCTGATTGGTAATACCATGATTATCCTTTTGGTGTGTGTTGACTATCGTCTCTACTCACCTATGTATTTCTTTGTAGCCAATCTTTCTTTCCTTGAGGTCACCATCACCTCCACAGTGGTGCCAAAGATGCTGGCCAACACTTTTTCACTCACCAAAGTAATATCCTTTACAGGATGTCTTACACAGTCTTTCTTTTACTTCCTCTTGGGATCTACAGAATTCTTCATCCTCGCTGTTATGTCCTTTGATCGATATGTTGCCATCTGCAACCCACTGAAGTATACCCTGATCATGAACAAGCAGACATGTGTACTCTTGATTCTGGGATCATATGTGGGTGCATTTTTGTCAATTTTGGTATCATCAATCTTAACTGCACCTCTGCCCTTTTGTGGGCCAAATGTAATCAATCATTTCTTTTGTGACAGTGCCCCAGTGCTAAAGCTAGCCTGTGCAGATATCTCTCTGGCTGAGCTGGCTGATTTCATCTCCTCTGCTGTACTGCTTTTGGGTTCCCTGCTCCTGACAGGAGTGTCTTACACCTACATTGTCATAACTATCCTTAGGATTCCCTCTGTCCAGGGAAGGCAGAAGGCTTTCTCCACCTGTGTTTCTCACATTACTGTGGTCACACTTTATTATGGGAGCTCCATCTTCATCTATGTTCAACCAAAAAAGAGCAATGTTATGGATGTTAACAAATTTGCCACTGTGCTGAACACTATTGTAACACCAATGCTGAACCCTTTCATCTATAGCCTCCGGAATGAGAAAGTCAAAGAATCCCTGAGAGATGTTGTCAATAAATGTGTAAGTAGGGTAACAAATTTAAGATATCATAAATGATATCTTTACAAACATCAATTACTTTCCACGTCTGACAACAAAATCACTTTATTGTGTAACTATTCAAAGGTTAATATTCATGCATAG